AGCCTGGAGGCAGTGCTGAATGTGGCTTTGGGCAACTCTTTTAGAATAATTCTGGGATCACACTGAGGAGCCAGAAGGTCCAGAGTAACAAATACCACTGAGCATAACAATGAGAAGACAGTCTTGATGGAAGCCCTCCTCAGGCTCTTAAGCTGGACACTTGCCTTACTTTTTAAGCTGTTTCTACTCTTCTTTAGAGCATGAACCAGATAAGACTAGTGCTGACAGAGCAGATTTGTCACATTCTTAGCACACCCCTGTCGGAATCCTAGATTTATCAGCGTGCTGTGACCTCCAGTGTTGAGCATCATTGATATAATTTTACGACTTCTTACCATGCCAAAAAAATTATAGTGCTAAGTAATTGGAACCTTTATATTTAACAAGCCAGAGTTGCCTCTTACATTATAGTCAAAATCTACATGAATAGAAAATTAATCTTGCAAAAAAAGTTGCAAGGAAGAAACTGTAGTATCCATTTACATTTTGATTAGCCCAGTCTGTGGTTGTGGATGGGCTCTTTCTTATATTGTGTCCATATCAGTCTCAGTTCCCCCTGGTCCTCACTATTCTCTGTTCCAAGTCTCTTGTGTTTGCTGTCAGACTTCTTTAGGGCCTAACTCAAGTCCTTCTGGTCTGAGGCTTGTGAGGACGTGCTTATTTACGAGGATGGTTACTTGTGGTCTGTCTTCACGGAGTCATCCTTCTCAGCCACCAGCTCTCTGTGTTCCCTGGTGCTCTCCCAGGCCAGGTTGGTTGCCATTCATTTTTGGGGGGAAAGCAGGATCTAAAAATAAAGGCTGAGTTGTGTCTTACCTAATTTACCAAATTACTTTCTCAGTAGCCTGAAGAGAAGCAGAAGCCCTAGTATGGAGGAGAGAGAGGTTCTGTGGTCCCTTGAAACCAGCCACCTGGCTCCCAGCCAGGCCATCTCTGCACCTCCAGGGAGTGAGGTGGCAATTCAGGTTTAAGAACAGGTATTTCAGGGGATGTGTTCGTGCCTGCTGAATGCTTCTTGAGATGGGATGATAGGACATGAGATTCTTTATAGTTTTAGAACCAGGAAATGGAGCTGGCTGGAGCTCTTTCTGGGGGCTGAGGGGTGGAGGACAACAAGTAAAACTAGAGGACTTTGCAATCTCCAAATGGGTCTGAGGATCCAGTGTTTGTTTGTTTGGTGAGGGCAAGCCTGGAGCAGTGGAAAGAAATCAGAAGGGTGGTCGTGTGACGGGAACATAGGAGTTGACTGTGGTTGTGGGCAGATTGCCCCCCCTTTCTGGGCCTCACTTTCCTCACCTGTAGCCTGATGTGGTGATGCATAGCCTACCCTGCTAGGTATTTGGGAAGACTGAGTGAAGTAGCCCAAGGACCTAGCTCATGCTCCTTTGCTCAAAGAGTGCTGACTCAGAAACTCTGCCATTAGCAAGCTGTGTGTTTGATCAGAAATGACCAAATTTTAAGACCTTAGTATTCAGGAGACATTACTCTGGTTCATCTCTTTTTTCAATGTATAAGTCTTTTGTTGTTTAAACAGTGTTCCAATAGTACCCCATAACCCAGAGCTTCAATCTCCTTATCTGTAACGGGGAGAAAAATATCTGTCCCGCCTACCTCAATGGATAATTGGGAGGTCAAATAAGATGATGAGTGTGACCACAGTTAAAACTTCCTGTAAATGCAGGAGATGGTGATGATGCTGTTGTGGCCCATAACTCCTTCTTGGCAAACAGGGCGCATCCATACTAGGGAAGCAAGATTGCCCTACCCGTTCCCATTGCCACCAAGTTGATTCCGACTCATAGCGACCCTATAGGACAGAGTAGAACTGCCCCACAGGGTTTCCAAGGAGCAGCTGGTAGATTGGAACTGCTGACCTTTTGGTTAGCAGCTGAGCTCTTAACCCCTGCGCCACCAGGGTTGCCTCTAGGTCTAATCAAATTCAGATATTTTTTGTCCACTTTTAAAAGTATCTTCTTTCGAATGTTAGAATGCAAAATTTTTCTTATTGCCCACACCTTCTAGCTCAGTATTCATTTACTCGAGACTCTGGGCTGATTTAAGCTGGTGCAAGTTGAAAGTGGAGGGGAAAGGAGTTGCTATTAAGATTGTGCAGTACATATGAAGTACCTGTTGGATGCTGCTCCAGGCACATAGAAGATCTGCTCTTTGCCTTCATCTACCAGAGATCCACCGAGCTGACCTGGTGGTGAGGGCTAAGTGAGTGTCATATAGGCATTGCTATTCAGAACTTTGGCCTTGGGCCAAGAAGGGGGAAAGATGAGAGGGGGTAGCACCGGGATGGCACCGTTTTTCTGATGCCCATCTTTAGGACTTTCTTATCATGGCCAGAATGCTGCCAGCCCCACAGACTCCTAAGGGAAGGGGACAGCAGGTTATAATGCAAAGAACACAGAATTTAGAAATTGAAGACCTAGATTCATGTCCTGGTCTTATCACTTATTGATGATGTTATCTTGAGTAAGTCACTTAACCTCTCTGAGCCCAGGTCCTCATTCCTAAAATGGGGTTTGATGGTGTTAATAGTTGAGATATGTAAGAAAATGTTGTGTAGACTGTAAAGCACTTTAGAGGTAATAGTGGATAGTGTTGTTTTTGCTTTAGTGTTGTGCCCATTATGAACAGGGAATTTTTTTTTTCCAGGTGGGAATGAGGCAGGTCCAGAGAGAAGGCTTAGATTAGAGTTCAAGTTTTCAAATTCCTGGAGAGTGGAGATGACTTTCTGGAAGAATCTGGGTGTAAATAAAACCTAACCCTTGAACATGGTACAAGGATTTCTATGTTAAGGGGCCTGCTTCTCTCTTCGTCTAGATGTTCATACCTTAACTCTGCTTTTTTGGGAAGACCAGGCTGCTGCCTTGCCAGATGAGATCATAGGATTCTAAGAGCTTGCCTGGGAGCAGGAGCTGGGAATTCAGAGGCTGCCTGTGGTTGGTTGGGGTGAGAGGGTGGCAGGGGTGGTGCACAGTTGCCGGGCCCAGGGAGCAGCCCAGCCATCAGGCTCCGCCTGCTTCGCGTTTGGCTGTTGGAGTTCAGGCTGCTTGAACCCTCAGTGCCCAGCTTATCCCAGACACAGAACACAGGATGCTCTAACTGCTGGAGGGGTAGAGTAAGTTTAACTTTTGTAGGCCTAAAGACTTTCTGTTGTAACCTTTCTGTTATGCTGATTTAGACCTACTAATCTCTAGGGAGGCTCAATGCTCAACTTGGGGACGGGGCTAATATCTTAACACTGCCAAACTGAGATGATCTATTGACTCTGACAGTGAACACATTTTAACTGCCTGAATTAGGAGCCTTTAAAAATGTCCATAGCCTTTAATTCAGTAATTTTACCTCTAGGACTTTAACACAAGAAAATAATTTGAATTGCAGAAAAAGCCTATTCTAAAAAATGTATTGATTTTAATAGTAGGGAGGGGAGACACCTAAAAAGTCCAGCACTAGAGGAAGGTAAACCTTTCTAGAGGCGGTGGGGTGCAACAGATGGTCAAGAGCTTGACTACTAGCTGAAAGGTTTGAACCCACCCAGAGGCTTCTCAGAAGACAGGCCTGGCAATCTGCTTCGGAAAGGTCACGGACTTGGAAACCCTATGGAGCAGTTCTACTCTGTGCGCATAGGGTCGCCATCAGTCAGAATTGACTCATTGGCAACTAACAACAATAAAAAAATTATGAGAATTAGGACTTTTTTGTTCACTACTGTGTCCCTGGAGCCCTGTTGGCATAGTGGTTAAGAGTTCGAATCTACCAGCTGCTCCTTGGAAACCCTATAGGGCAATTCTACTCTGTCCTGTAGGGTCACTATGAGTCAGAATCTACTCGACGCAGCGGGTTTGGACTGTGACACTAGAATCTAAAGCAGTGTCTAGAGCACAGGTACCCAGTAAACATCTTTTGAATGGTTATATGAAGAAAAAATTTACATCCAGATGATAAGACTATTGTTCAGCTATTTCAGATGTAGAAGTCTTAATGACATAGGGAATTCCTATGTTAACAGGTAGTGAAAAGAGGAGACACAGTTTTTATATACGGTATAATCACAAGTTTTTTAGCAATGGAAGAAAAGGAAAGCTTAGAATGAGAAGATATCCAGGTATATCTCCAGTTGGTGAGATCACGGGTGACTGTTTTTTTCTATTATTTTCTAAATTTCTAAAATGACCATATATTAGTTTCATAATCGTGAAGAGTGTTTTAAATAACACCTATTATTTTAAAAAGAAGGAAGCTAAGTTAGTTTATTCATGGAGCAAACCAGCAGCCTCCAGAGTCAGCCGCCCAGGGGCCTCTAGAATGGAGAGCCAGTTCCTCCTCCTTTTCAAAGAACCAGGCAGCCTTTGTCAATACAGAAGACACCTACACACTTTGGTTGTGTCTGTCAGCTTGGCGTGGAAGCTGATCCCTCCTAACTTCGAAAGCGTGATAGAAACTCCAGTGTTGAAATTGTGCAGGTTATGTTTCAGAGACATGCCCATACATTTATATCCCATCACTGAAGTGAAGACATTTTGTCGTAGGGAGAAAAATTTTAAAGAAGATAGAATTTTCTGAGTGGGTGGCTAATTCTTAGAATTCCTTCCTTGGTTCACGGTTTTTGGAAGCTGTTGAAAGTGCCGTCTGCTTTCCTTCATTCTTGTTTTGGCTTGTGCCCTCTTAAAGTAATTTTATGTTCAACGTCTCAGTTGGTTGAAGTAAGTGTCTCTCTAAGATGGAGTATTCTCTTAGAGCCAAGGCTTCCCTAGAATTAAAATCCCTGCCTCTTAGGTGGCCTTTGGCACTTGAGCTGGAAGATCTTGGTTTTTAGATGTAGCTGAGTTCTCATAGATCAAATGCATCACAGAGAAGAGGCACCACTTTCTCACCCTGGGGGAATCTTTGATGACCAAGAGTCCCCACACATTACTGACCTGTTGTTGCATTTGTAATCCCATCCATTCGCATGTTTTCCCATTCATCATCTCTCTCTTTCTCTTTAGCCATAACCAGCAGACCACAGTGTTTAGGCATCCTGTGACCGGGCAGTTTTCTCCAGAAAATAGTGAATTCATTCTGCAAGAAGAGTAAGTACTTTTGTCTGTTCTTCATATCCAGACAGAGTTTGGGAACTTAAAGGCATTTGTTTAAGACAAAGCTTGTTGAACTATCTTCTCTCTCAGATAGAGGGGCTTGGAGTAGGCTGATTTATTACAGATGAAATGTGAGACGAATTTTGTTTTCAGTTTCTAGACTTCTCTCAGTGGGAAGATGTGGAAGAAGAGAGATGATGTGGGGATGCATTGTGATTAGTATTATCAGAGCCTCTCAAAAGCTCTCGGACCCAAACGAACCTTCCCCTCAAGCATCATCTAACACACTACCTGTGCTCTGAGAGGACTCACTTATCTGGTGTGAAAATTCCTTAAGGATAGCCTCAGACCGAGCTGAACCAGCCTCCCAAGGCAGCCTCACGTAACAGCCCAAGGCCAGGGTTTAGAAAGAACTGGATTTGAGGAGAGCTGGCGGTACCCACTGTCCCTGAACATTTTGCTCCCTTTCCCTAACACAAGAACATTCCTGCTCTTCAGCCTGTTTCACTGGGGCCTCTGGGGGTGCTCAGAGCCAGGTTCTACCACCTAGGGTTTGTCTACTTAAAAATGCATGTACAACCCAAGCAGGGTATGTTCATCTCCCCAAAGAGAAGGCAGAGAAATATATATAAGTGGCTCTGCTCCCTTCCCCTCATCAGAGACATTTTTATTTGAGAAGCTAATAAAGGGACATTGTCTTTAAGTGTTTTTTTTTTTCCTTCAAATCATTTCTCCTGTGTCAGTTGCCTAGACCAAATTTAATCTTAAAATGAATTATGTTGTTGTTGTTAGCTGCTGTTACATTGACACCCAATTCACGATGACCCCATGAAATGCTGCTTGGTCCTGCGCCATCCCATGGTTGGTTGCAGATTGGACTGTTGTGATCCACAGGGTTTTTCATTGGCTGACTTTCGGAAGTAGATCACCAGGCCTTTCTTCCTAGTCCATCTTAGTCTGGAAGCTCCACTGAAACCTGTTCAGCATTGTAGCTACGCACAGCCCTCCGATGACAGATGGATGTTGGCTGTACATGAGGTGCATTGGCCAGGAATCAAACCCTGGTCTCCCGCATGGAAGATTAGAATTCTATTACTGAACCACCCACGCAGCCTAGATAAACTATAGGTATTTATATTTTTACAACATTTCTCTCCCCTAATACTTACACCTTTAAACTTTTTATTTTGAAAAATTTCAAACATATATAAAAGTAGAGAAATACGGTAATGAATCCAATGTATTCATCACTCACCTTCAACAGTTCTCGAAACATGGGTAATTTTGTTTCATCTATACGTTTCCCCTCATCCTCTCATTATTTTGAAGCAAATTCCAAACATACCTCTTCATTTCTTCAGTATTTTCTGCTTAGAATCATTATCCTACAGAACTTTTAAAGCTAGAAATCTATAATTATGATAATACTGACATTCATTGCACGTTTACTCTGTGTCAGATACCTTGCCAAGGATTTTACATGCATATCTCATTTGATAAACAATAGTCTGGAGAGGTGGATCATCATCACCATTTTCTAGATGAAGAAACTGAGACTCAAAGAAATAAAGTCACAGGCCCAAAGTAGCATGGCTAGGAGTAGAAGAGCTAGGATGTCACCCAGACTAGCCAGGCTCAGAGGTCTGTGCTGCCTCTGTGTGGTGTTCACTTTATTCAGGCCCAGTCCCTACCCTAGTCAGAAGTTGCTTGATAAATTATTTTGATGCTGGCTGTCCATGGGACGTGATGGCTGGACTCTGGGGGCTGTGGGTCTGACCGTGGAAGTGTTAATGCAATTAGAAAGAAAGAGAGAGAGTGGGTAAAAGGTAAAGATTGTCTTGTCTCCTAGACTAAGAAAGAACTTCTGTGTAAAGACAGAGCTGAAATGTGGATTCCCCGGATCCCAGCCTGGAATGAGTTTGTTTATAGAATCTTAAAGGTCAGAAACTCTTGGGAGGTCGTTGAGTTCAGTCTCCTTCCCTTAGATGTCCTGGAGACATGGGTGCCTGCTATTATTAAAGGTCCGGATGGAGAACCCATTAGAACGCTTAAGAAGTTAGCAACTTCAGTAAGAGCTGGTAGAGAAATGCAGACTTTCCATCACTAAACACCTCTTTCACACACATCTTCTTTCCTTTCATTCTTAACAGAAGACTTTTGTCTCCTTCTGAGATGGTGGCTGCTTTTATCCTACTAAAATATCTCTGTAACTATTCTTGATTCCTTCCACTTTCCAAGGAAAAAATGTTCCTTCTTTTTAAGGGTCACTTCTTCCCCCTAGATCTCATTTCCTGAAGGTCGTAGAGGGCACTTATCTCAGATGGTGGGTACAACTGTATGGCCAGACATTCCTCAACCCAGGTAGAATGTGTTTTAGATATTAAGAGGAAGGAGAATTCTTATGAATTGATACAGTGGTTCCTGCAATTATTCATTAAATATTTACTGAGTGAGTACCTACATTGTGTCAGGGGCTGTGCTGGACCCTGCAGTTATAGCAGCAAGCAAGACAAATGTGATCCTGTCCTCATTGAGCTTATGGTTGAGTAGGGAAGATAGATAATTAAACAAGAGACCACAAATGTGGTTAAGTGTTCATGATAGAGGAAACATAGGGTTCAATGGGAGTTGATAAAAGAGAGCTTTAACCTGACTTAGAGACCGTGGAAGCCTCTCCATTTCTGGAAGGGATTCTGTTTAAATTGAGACCTGTCCATCAAGATGAACAGCCTGGGCAAAGACCCAGAAAGAAAAGATTGGGAAGAGCATGAAGAGAGAACAGGAAAGGGTCTATACCAGCTGAGAATCCTAAATGTCAGAAACACAGTTGGAAGAGTGGAAAACACAGCTGAGTAATCACTGGGTGGATTCTGGTGATACATGGGAACAGGGATGGGTTATCCAGTAGGCAAAGTAAGCACGCTTCTTACCACATCAAAGATTCTGCCTCTAGGAATGGCTGGCATCTGTCTCTCTCCCAACCCCACAGCACCTTCCTATAGTATCAAAGCCTTTTTTCAAATTTACAATCCCTGACGGGGTGGATGATTAAAGATATGGTGAAACCCATGTGAAATTGTTCACTACAGATGATCTAGTAAGCAAGGTAAGCACTGTGCTTACCTTGCCTGTTGGATAATCTGTCCCTGCTTGGGAGGTATAATTGACAGGACTTGGTAATTGATTGTGAAAGAGAGGGAAGGCTTTCTTGAAGGGTTTGACTAGAAGAAGAGGGAGGAGTTGGTTAGATAAGTGAAGATAAGTATGTGCATGCCCGTGTGTTGGGGTCATTCCAGCTGAGGGAAGTGTGACTAGCCTTAGTAGGGTCAGAAGACAAGAAGACTGACTTGTAGTGGAGGATTGTGAATGGGAGTGTGGAGAGAAAGTTGGAGAGAGAGACTGCAGCCAATTATCTAAATTACTTCTTCCTGAAATACACTCATTTACCTCTTGGAGAATTCTGGAAACTGACTGAAGCATGATTTCCCCTCACAGAAATCTTTTTCTTCAAGTGTGCAAATGAATGAAATTCCTGTTGTGTTCCCTTAGCAGAGCTTAATTTTGTTGTGTAGTGTGTTATATGGTGAGAATAAAAGGCTGAGATGACCAGTTGTATCCTTAGAGATCAGCTCTCAGACTAAAGGTCTTGGTCAGAAGAAGAAAAACTGGCTCTTTCCCTTCTCCAAAGAGGGCCAAACACTGGGAGTTATAAAACATTGAATTTTCCTGCTGAGCCTCCAGCCCCAGCTTTTTGGAGTTAATCCTCTTTGGAGCGGTGGTTCTCAAAACCAGATGTGATCTCTGAACCAACATCACCTGGGAACGTGTTAGAAATTCAAATTCTTGGTTCCCACCCCAGACCTGTTGAATTAGAGACTCTGGAGGTAAGGCTCAGCAATCTATAGTTTAACAAGCCCTCCAGGTGATTTTGATGTAGATAAAGTTGGAGAACCAATGATTTAGACAACTTTCTGTTCCCATCCCTCCTAAGTTACTCCCAAATTCTTCTGCTCACCCTCAAGTCTCTCAGCTCCCGTCATTCTCTGGACTGCAGTGACAATCTTAGGTAGGTTTTAGTCAAATAATCTTGAGTTCCATCTTCTGCCTTTGAGATTGCCATAAGAGACAGTCTATACGGTGTCTTCTGTTAGGGCATTACAGATGTGAACAGATAACATGTCTCCTTTGCCTGTTGGCAGGTGGAACTCACCTGAGCTGCTTGGAGTAACAGGTGCCTGTGCCCACCAAAAGGTGGTTTCTCATCTTACAGATTAGAGGTATGGAGAAGAGAAATAATGTGAAAGCTATGGTCTGGTGAGTCCAGAGGACTGAGTGTTCTAGTTTCTGTGTCAATAATACAGAATCAGTCAGGATAGGCTAGCATCTGCTGTAGTAACAACAATAACAAACAATATCTTGGTGGTTTAAAACAGCAAAGATTGATTTCTCACATTCGCTTCCTGTCTGTCACAGATTGTCTGAGGGGCTCTGCTCTGTCATCTTTAATGAGGGAGGCTCTTTTCTCTGTGCTTCCACGGTTATCAAAGGCAGGAAAAGGGAACATGGTGAATTTTGTACTGGCTCTTCCACACACAGAGCCCTGGTGTTGCAGTGGTTAAAAGCTTGGCTGCTAACCAAAAGGTTGGCAGTTCAAATCCACCAGCCACTCCTTGGAGACCCTATGGGGCAGTTCTGCTCTGTCCTATAGGGTCACTATGAGTTGGAATCAACTCGATGGCAATGAGTTCTTCCACACACATTTCATTGGCTAAAGCATGTCACATAATCGACCACTCCTAACTTCAAGTATCAGGGAAGTGCGTTTCTACCATGCACCTGGGAAGAGAACCAGAAATATTTGTTGGACAGCACTAATGACTACTATCAATAATTCACAGTTCAGATTTATCAAGGGAAGCAGGGCCTTTGGAGTCTTTCACTGGCAAGCTTCTTTGATTGCATGATTAGAGTGCTTGTTTTTGCATTTTACCTTT